TTTTGAGACAGAGAGAGACAGAGCATGAATGGGGGAGGGACAGAGAGAGAGGGAGACACAGAATCGGAAGCAGGCTCCAGGCTCTGAGCCATCAGCCCAGAGCCTGACGCGGGGCTCGAACTCACGGACCGCGAGATCGTGACCTGAGCTGAAGTCGGACGCTCAACCGACTGAGCCACCCAGGCGCCCCTAGATGAATCATTTCTATGTTATATCTGGTCATTAAGCAGAAGTGGTTTGAAATCAGGGGCCCCACCATGTCCCCGGTGTCTGACCCAGTGCCCCGTGCCCGTTTGTCGCCTGAAAGACGGACGGAGGCCATGTGGCTGCCCATCCCGTGCCCGCAGGCCGAGTATGCAGCGCTGGAAGGCGGCAGCCTTAGCCTCGGTGCTCTGCAGCTCCGTGCTCTCCATCTGGATGTGTCGGGACGGCCTGCTCCTCAGCCACCGCCTGGGACCCGCGCTGTCCCCACTGCGCCGGCCACCTCGCACCCTGGACGCCCGGATCGCCCGTCTGGCCCAGTGTAAGCCCCTCCCCGTCGCGGGTCAGATGGCGGGATCCAGGGGCGGGCACAACGGTGGAATTTCCGGCAGGGGCCACGGAGGCTTATTTAGATGGGGTGTAGGGGGTGCCAGTCTTCCCAGCGGCCTGGCAGGGGTGGCATGGGGGCGGGGGTGGTGGCTGAGAACCGGGTGGCGGGGGGTCTCTTGGCTCAGCTGTCATAAGGAATTAGGCTCTGGCCCTGAGGGGACCAGGGGACCAGATGGAGATTAGACCTGGGCATCGGGCCCGGAGGCCCCCACCGCACGGCGGGGAGTGTGTGGAGACGGAGTCCCCACTGACCTGCCCGGTGGACAGAGACCAAGCGGAGGGGGAGACATGAGAGACCTAGAACTGGGGAGAGAAACAGAGGCATAAAGGCTCAGAGACAAAGAGACAGGAGTTGGGAGAGATGACATACTAGAAGGCGGGGGATGCAGACTTGAAATACGGCCTCCCCCCGGAGGGGCGTGTCCCCCACGGCCCAACTCCCCACTCCCAGGCACCTGCCCTCTGCCCTGCTGCCAGGCATGGGCCGGGCATGGGTCCCACTTCTAGTGCGCGCGCGCGCGCACGTGTCCACGCGGAGCCGCGCGGATGACCGAGGTGTACGTCTGGGCGCGTGCAACGGGCCTGTGGGTGGGGCGACGGGCACGCCTGCGTGCAAGTCCTTGCCGGCCCTGTGGGCCCACACAATCCTCCTTTCTTGTGTTTACAATGGACAAGGGTAGCCGGCGGCATGGGCTCCACTTCCGTCGGCCGCTTGGCCGCTTCTTCCTGCGGCGTCAAAGAACTTCCAGGACACGGGTCCCAGACACCCCGGATGAGGCCCCAAAACGCTAGTGTTCCAGAACCCGAGGGCAGAACACCCATGGTGAAATCTCAGGCACCGGGAAGGGGCTCGGCCCGTGGGCCGGTGATTTCCTCCCTGGACCCCGTCCCTGGGCACAGCCCTCCTAAGGGAAGCGAGTGACCACGGACTCCCCTCAGAGCCCCAGTGTTAGGCCCCGAGACCAATGCGCTGTTGGTGAAATTTCACGGTTGGGGCGGTGGGAGGGGGAAGGGCAGAAGCTGATGCTGACCTCACCCCTATGTCCCAGCCCCTGTGCCGGTGGCCAGGCCTGCTGGAGGGAGGCAGGGCAGCAACACCAAGAGATTATTCACTGTTTATCTGAAATTCAAATTTAACTGGGCATCTGTGCTTTATCTGGAAAACTCTCTAAATGTATACCTTAGGCACGACACGGTGGAATTTTAGGCAGCATTAAGTGAGGTAGGCCTGAACCTGACCCCAGAGCCCCCCCAGTCCTGCCCTGGACTTCAGGAACTGGATACATGATGCTCATTGGATCCACGCTTTGCACTGTCCAGCCTCAGCCAAAGCAGGGACCCTACGAGCCTCCTTGAGCAGAAGGGGACACCGAGGCCCGGAGCAGTGCCATCACCTACCTGAGTTGTACAGGGCTGAAAGTGGCAGAACTAGGCTTTGACTCCTGAGACACCCGCCCACCCCCCGTGGGAACAGACAGACTCTCCCACTTGGGCCACGCCGTAAGCTATTTCTTTGGGAGCCGGGGGTGCCGGCCTGGGGGCCCTTAGGGGGCTAAACTCAGGATCTCCTTTCCCAACCACAAGTATGAGGCCGCCTGTGGAGGGCTTGGGAACCCCTCCCTGCAGTCCCACAGTCCGCACCACCTGCCACTGCCACGTCTATACTTCTCTCCTGAGGCTGCAGGGTACTGGGGCAGGCCCAGCCGCTTGGGAAATCAATTTAGGCTACGGGGCCCTGGGAATCGGTGACTCGGGGCACCTCCCGGCGACCGTGGGAGAAGAGGACTGGATGGGGGCCAAACTTGGGCACACGATGGAGGCGGGAAGAAGGCTGTTTGGGCTTGTCTGTGTCTCTGCCACCTGCTAACAGTGTGGCCTTAGGCAAGTCTCTGTCGGGTTGGATGCCCAATTTCCTTACCTGTACCACGGGGGTGGCTGTGACATTAGGTGGTGCCACGCGCAAGGCCTCACATGCAGGCCTGCTGCTCCTCTGCTCGTGCTGAAGCCCAAACTTCTGACTCAGTACTGTGGATGGAGAAACTGAGTCCCACCACGCAGTGGAACAGGAGGAACGGGGCGGCGGGCGGGGGGGGGGGG